TAGTTTGGAGGTGCTGCAATCGTTCGAATGCTGTCTAGCTCGGTATGAGATCATGCATGCGAAAACGACAAAAGTAAAAGTAAATTCGGTAAACTTTTTTTGGAGCGCTCTGATGCGTTTTTTTCTTAGGAGTGCTCAGAATACGGATATCGGCTACAAGAACTCACGAAAAGTCGGCTATGAGAGCTCGCCTCGTGTCGGTCTCGGGAGCCATACCGGATGTGTCCCGACACAACCGACAGCTCATTACCATATGTACACTGCGGTGTATTGCTGTTTTAAAAGCTACACTGCGGTGTATTGCTGCTTAAGCTTACACTGCGGTGTATAAGCTTACACTGCGGTGTATATTATTTGGTATTTAATATGGGGCGAGAGCTTCGTTTGCAACGTTGCAACTGATGCGGGGGCATAGCGTGTGCTGTGCAGCACGCATGTTATAGACTTCGCGTGCATCGAGCCGAGTCGACGGCACGTAAAAATCTCGCCACAACCTTTCTTGGAAAACGTACCGTAGTCATTCTCACGCATCCCATAGACCACACCAATGCAGCGCTGCGGCACCCCCGAGAACAACGACCGATAAATTGACGACCACTTCAACAACTACGACCAACAAACATCATTGGTTTATAAGTACACTGTAAGTGTATCTGAATAGCAGAACGTATAATCGGTACCGAGAACCAAAGGAACCTCATCATCGTTACCGAGTACGATACCAGGATACATTGTCGGTATCGAGCGCGTTAATAAATTGAATCATCGGTAACGAGTGCTGTGAAACATTTCATGCTTGCTACCGAGCACGCTAATAAATTGTATCGTCGGTACCGAGTAGTATACAAATGACTTAGACTTATGCCAAGAGCTACTACGTCGAAATATGTTTGAACTCATAAACCCGTCATTTGACCATTACTTTGACCTATTAAACGTCAATTACACTTTGATGTAACCCATTTTACGACCCGAATGCCTCTCTTTGACCTATAAAACGTCAGTTACACTTTGGTGTAGCCCATTTTACGTCCCGAATGCCTCTCTTTGACCTATACGTATTGTACACGTATAGCTACTGGCAGCTACTGGTAACGTTATGCTCAAGAGATGTTGCCTCAAATAGACATGTCGTCTAATGAGAGGATCGCAATCTATTTCGTCCCTGCGTTAGTGGTCATTATAAATGTAATTACGATTAACGTTGTGCTGGTTGTTGTGCAATGGGCGTTTCAATGTATCGGTAGAGAGTAGAAAAAGAGTTTTTAGGAGGAGCAGGCAAAGGCCAGCTAAACCTCAACGCAGCTTCGATTTGGCTTCGGCCTGCTAAGTCTCGCCAACCCATGGCAGGCGTGGTAATCCACCTCCTCTGCCCCCTTTGCTGGCAACAAGCGCGAGTCCTGAAATGATAGGAACCAGTAAATAGATGGCTGTTCAGGCGTCAACAGATGAGCAGCACCAACGAGCTAGACACTGCACAACCCCGCGAGCGAGTTCACGACAAACTATACCGTACGTAGCGCTAACGTTGGTATATGATCGTGTTTCACATTATTTTCGTTGTTGAAAACGCGTCGCAAACATAGAGATGTGTTTACATGTACTAGTACATATATCTGTCTTCTTCTTCAAGTGCTTGGCGGTCGTGGCTGCGCAGCCGAGCGGCGGGCGACTGAAAAAGTAGATTCGTATTATTTCTGGGAAGTCACTATGCGAAGAGAACGCGAAGCTCGCTGGCACATAATCCATTATTTGGCGAATTACATCCTACTAGACCAGAGCGAACCGATAAGTGCCGTTGCCGTGGCCTCACACAATGTTAATCGCCACTTATAACACAGAATCACCCTCCGGCAGGGGTCCTTCCCGTCACATTCCATGAGGCTCCGTGTCGAATTGCATTTCATAAAGTTGGTTTAGTAGTACCAGTAAGTGTGCAGAAGTGTAGTGATTCACTCGCATAACTGGGCTATGCATGTCAGAGTAAAGAACAGGACTATCGAATTCAAACATGCCATCCAACCTATTTCAACGCATGCACCGACTGAGTCCGCTGCGTGGTTGAGGTGTCGAATGTGGTTGATTCACCGCGAAGAAATACAACGCATGACATGCATGCATTCTATCATCTCCATAAAGAGCTAGTGAGCTGGTCTACTAAGGACTCGACGCACAATCACTTTTGCATTCAAATGACAAAGCACACACCGGTGGAGTTGTCGTACTCATATTGCAACGGCGCCAACGGCAAAAACAGCAAGATGAGCAAAATATTGTTCAATAATATCACACCAAAAAATAACGACATGCAGTGTCGAACCCACGGCGGATGGTATACCAATGGGGCGTCGTACCACCAGAGTACGTGAGACATTTTGTGCGATACGTACATATAAAACATGGAGCTTGTATTGAACACGTTGCATGCACCTATTATATGCTGCCAATGACTTTATTGCATACTGCGCGGCTTTTACAGGGCTATTTTTTCTGCGAAGTAGCTTAGTTGATTGAAAAAGTCAATTGTACAAAGGACTTTCTCTAATACGGCGGTGGTACACAAGCCAACCCAAAATGGTTACTCGATAAGCACTAAACTGCTGTGATTCCATTGCAATGGGCTGTACTAGTACTGCTTTTAGAAGCTCTTTCAGGAATCTTTATTAGCATGCAGCACGCATGGGTACTTATTTACCCCTGGCAGCACGTCCATCGCCCAGCTTCATCGCTCAAAATGGTATTCATAGCCGACATAGAAGACGCATATACCTTGTATCCACGCCGAGTTGCCACTAGGTTCGACGCCGCGTGGCGGCTAAATGCGGTAAATTGCCCCGTAGAAGTACGGTAAACGAACTTATCCGGGAATTTTACCACGGTAAACTTAAAGATTTTTTTCTGAGAGTTTGCTATTAATGGTATTTGATAATCTTTATCAATGTGGCTGACAGTTGACGCGTCTTTGACCTTAAAGCTCGAAAGACGGCGAATGTTGGCATGACTTTGCGACGCAGTTAATCGAGCTGAGCCTGACTCTGTTTGGGTGGCTTGGACCGTCACGGAGAGTGCGAGTTGTGTTAGGTAATGAAGTGTCACGTGGCTCAGAAGGAAGATAAAGAAAAAAGCGACGATTATGTCGTCGAGACAAGCGTGCGGTCCATGGGCACCTGATTTACGAGGTGCACAAGACTGTGGACCCAGACCCACGGCACAATCAAGAAGTAGACTAGAATCTGGGGCGCGAGGATCACAAACGACAAACCTCGAGCTCACGATGAATTGGTGTGTCAACGAGCAGCGACATATACCTAAAATGGAATTTAGCACTCCAGCGGACAAAGGGTCATGTAGAGCAGAGACACGTGGGGTCAAGACACAGTGGGGTTAAGACACAGTACAGAGCGACGATTAATGTGGAAGTAAAAGAGAACCTCGCGTCGACGACAATCCGGCTCACATACCGGTACTGTGCATAGACCGAGATGAATACAGCCATGATGAATGCATGCTGCAAAACTCCTCCTTCATTGGTTGTAGCAAACGCTGCCCACAATCGGAGCCGCTACAAAAACAACTTCACTTTCAATTCAAGCAGAGTACATTTAGAAACGCGGTGTCAATGTCCGTACTGAAGATACCACGAGGCCATGATGACGATCCTACTTGGACCCAAATCGCTTATTGCTCAGATCGTCCGGCCGCGCCGCGTGCGGCGTCGGTTCTATGTGCTCGGTCGATATCCAGATTTATTTGGATGCGGGCTCGGACGGTTTCGTTTGAAACACACCCGAAGGCTCTGTCGGTGGTCCGAGTACAGGAGCCTGCGTACGACCTCGCGCGAGCTATGACTCGGCGAGTGGGGTCCACCACGGGATGGATCTCTCCGTACGCAGCTCACTCCCAACGACCAAGTGCTGATGCCAACTCCCACGCATTCAGGCGTAGCGCTACGTATGCGAAGTCTTTGGGTTAGTTTTTCTATTTGATTTCAACGTGAATACGTTTAATTGATTGATTGAGAGCGTGCCGAATGGGCTCACGAGAGAGAAATAAAACCCACAAGGCCAGGTATAGTTAGAACAGATATGAGGCTCATCGAGACAAGAAGCCACAACGCTGGCATGCAACCTACGTAAAAGGCGCGAAATGTGTGAGCTATTCTTGTTACAGAATTGAGAGACTGCCTAGGGCGACGAGAGCAAATGACGCATGCAAGGATTGAATAACGGCTCTACAGAAACATGAAAAAGCGCTGCTTTTCTTACTCCGGCGGTGGTCGTGATGCGCGCTCAACAGGGCGTCTTGGCACATCAGGCACTTCGTTTGGAAGCTTGGCGTCGTCTCACACCCAACTGTTTATTTCACTGGTTCGAACAACCGTTTCTGTGTAATCGGTTACCCGTACGGCGGCAGGTTTGGGATCAATGTGCAGCATCGCGACTCCAAACGTGCAGCAAAGTTGTGCCGCGCTCATCTCGAGCGATTTGCGTCACGATGCCGCGTCGTGTAGTATACTAGTAGATACTACACGCTCGTGTCGTTCAAGATACTTGCCGAGTTTGGCACAAACCCTCAAGGTCCGATTCACACACTAACATTAGCTGCGCCAAATGTTTCAACAACTCGACACGACGAAGAACCCCAGCATCGGCGTGATCGGTCTCATTTGCGAATCTGTTTTTGTATTTGCCTCATTTAGCGGAGCTATGCCTCGTTCTCATCAACTTCATCGTACATCTACGGTGTCATATGTAAACGATTGTGTAACAGCTCACCGACCTTGGCTCTCGTTGTCTTTTGAAAGCGCGCGAGGTCCGTGTGTATAGTCGGCGATAGAGGCTGCACAGGAATGTCGACGCCTTCGCGGCCCTGTACATTCAATACTATGCGATACGTAGTCGCATGGAGATCATATACCGTGATCCATGGATGAGCGAGAACGTCGGCAATCGAATAGCGCTCGTTTGGGTCAAGGACGAGAAGGTGCTTGATCAAGTCTTTCGCTTGAATCGAAATACCCACCCACGCCTATCCAAGCGTCGCCTCACGGGTCATGATTTTGAGCACTTTGCGACACCTACCTCATCTGCGTAGTCGAAGTGGCACTTTTTGATTGCTGCGATCATGTCATTGTCGGATCGTGTTCCGTTAGGGTCGAAAGGATGGAAGCCGCAGAGTCTACAAAAGTCTCGATCGATGAGCGCATCATAATTTCCAAGCGTACAGGATGTAAAGGATGGTGCCAAGGCTCCACGAGTCGACCTTCGCGTCGTAGCCGAAAGTACATCCAGACCCCGAGATCATTTCGGGTGCAGAATAGCCCCACGTGCCGCACTTGGTCTTCATGGATGTGGCGGTCGTGATCTTGGCAAGGCCAAAGTCGGCGATTTTGATGCAAGCCAGCGTGTCGTCGGGGGTGCCTGCGATTTGAAGACGATTGTATGTATGATCTGGCCTATAAACTTACTCAGAAGAATATTCTCGGGCTTCAGGTCGCGGTGCACAATGTCGTTGGCGTGCATGAACGCAACGGCCTCCGCCATGCAGCGCACGTGTCGAACGCAGTCCATCTCCGAGTACGGACCTTTCTCTGCCAATCGCTCGAAGAGTTCACCGCTGTGCAGGATGGATGGCTTGCATAATGTATCTTCAATATCGACTTGTACCCCGTGCAGAGCTCCATGACGACATACACGTCGCCGGCGGTCTCAAAGACATCGAGGAGGGATACAATATTCGGGTGTTCTTGAATCTTGCGGAGCGCGGCAACTTCCGACTTAGGACATCGAGCTAAGATTCACGGTGTACGGTTCGAAAGTACCTTGAGCCGCGTTTCGTCGGTCAGAGCCCGGCGAATCTTCTTGATTGCTACTGGTTGGTTCGTGCGGCGGCTTCGCCCGCGATACACGGTGGCGTAGTGACCTCTGCGAGCGTGGAGTGAGGGCCTAATTCTCTGTATATGTGTTATTACCTTCCAAGGCGTGTGCTCTCCAGGACGTAGTAGTCTTCAACACGTCGAGATCGACCCGATGGCTCTACACCTGATGCTACGCATGGGTTGTGAAGCGCAAAACATACCTGGGCCTGTATCGGGAAATGTCGTGGTCGATGCCATCGCGCTCTCGACCTCAAGGTCAAAGTCTGTTGCTTGGAGTTGCTTGGACGGTGTCGATTGGCACGCATCTGCCGTTGGCTGGATATGAATCTCAGTTGTACTCATAGGAGCAACCAAGGAGTCATCCAGGCCTCCTATGCTGGGGCATCGGCCGCTTCCAGCCCCGGCGTCATCGGGGTTCGCTGCCGTGACATCGGCGGTTGATGGAGACGAGTTGGAGTTGCCCATGTTCCGAGCGAATGTTCTGGTTCGAGATTTTGGAGTCGTTGGATTCGGATATGTCCTAGTTCTAGAATTTTCATTTAGGTGCAAAGACTATTTTTAGCAAGCGCGGACGCTGAGGATGGCGGATGCCCTGGAGCCGCGGATCCGAAAGCTATTTGTCGAGACCAAAGGCGCCTATGATGCGATGCTTCATCGACCTTTCACGCCACAGAAGGTTCAAATGCATCCGTTCCCGCACGAGATCGACCATGTCGTGCGACCACGATCGCCACTGAAGTCGCCACGAGGACCGCTGGTAAAGATGCCGACAACCACGGACTCGTTGCCAAAATCTGCCAGTTGCAGCGTGAGATTCTTCCTGTGGTGTTATGATGTGAGCTGATGTTGCAATAGTCGCTACCACCAGCCAGGGCTGCTGTCGAAAAACAGCTTCCACGCATCACAAGCTCTGCAATGCGCGACCAGAACCTCAGCAAGGACCCCGTCGGTCGTCGAAGCAGGTATATGTTCGTTCGGATCGCATAAATGTTACCGCTTGGCCTAGTTCGCGGGGATCAATCGCTACCTATCAGACGGCAAACGAATCGGTGCTTGATGAAATGCGGGGTGAGAACTTCGAAGATCACGGACGCAGATGCGATCCCTTCCGTAGCGTTCGTGTTGATGAAGCGCCGCGAGCGCAAATCAGCAACAACGGAGACGGAAGTGAACGTGACAAAAAACGTCGTGCAGCGCAAGGTCACTAGGGGCATCGAGCTGCACATGCAGTGCCACCTTGAGTTCAATCATTTGCACAATCGTGCGACGCGCCACCTGAACGTACACCCAGATCCCACGACGAATTTCGGTGCTGCCCTCGAGACGCCACCGGGACGCATTAGCCCATTCAAAATCCAGCAAAAAGACACGTCCGAGGGCAGGAAGAAGAAGAGAGGTAAGCAAGCCACTTACTCTGTCACTTAAGACTCGCGTCCAGAGAGTCTATCGTATCAAAAACTGCTGAGAAAGTTGTCACCGACGATCACGAATTCCGCGACGACGTACATCAATCTTTTGCACCTCCTCCAAGCCTGTCGTGTGTGTGGCGGCCGCGTCACATTCTGCACCACTTGTCAAACTCACGCCAACGAGTACTTCCACACGTTCTCTCCAGCAGAACTCGAGAAGACGTACGGAAAGCAACTGCCGCTGCCCGACAACACCAAGGTGGCCGACTACAGTGCTTATCTGCGCGCCCGCGAAGTTGCTACCGTACGCAAAGGTGAAACAAAGCAGCTCGAAGATCGTAACTAAGACGTTATTTCTTGACGCACGAGGTTATTTTGTTACCTACGAATTCGAGCCCTTGCCCTTTTCGGCAATCGTCGGCCAGGCTTGCTGGTTGACGACGACTGCGTCATGCATGTCTGGTGGGGTTCGCATACAAATTAAAGGCACAGTAACCTAGCCGCGTCACGACGAGGCAGCACCACTAGCTGCGGCTTGTGTCTGAACGGTGCTTCGGTCTTGAAACGCGATTGTGAGCGGCCTCGCCTTCTTGAGCGGCGGTGACTCCGGCAGCGCCAATGGCTCCAAACGTCGCTTTGGTGTCGCGTTGATGACATTTCGCGCATCGCGAAGCAAGCCGACGACATCAACGGACGCCGTGAAGTTCGAAACAATCTGCTCGTAGGTCGCGCTCGTGTCATCGGTGATGGTCGGTGAGAACTCTGGCACAAATCCATACGCCTTTTGGTCGCGGTACGCATGGTGTGCAAAGTACTGACGCACGCTGCGCTCGCAGTTAGCAAGGCAGTAGTACCCTTCAGCGGGCAGCCGATTGAAGACGGCTCCAAGAACGCGGAGGCCTGCGGCCTCAAAGTAGCTCGCGTTGAGATTAAACGAGTCGACCTACACAAGGATGTGTCACAAAAGTTCATCATCCCAACCATTATACCGCATCACCAACGCCAGGTTTACCCACGAGCAAAACCGAAATTGGGCGTAGTGCCGAAGCGACATCAGCGTTGGAGACACCACAAATTGACCCAACACTTGGATAGCCCACGCCATCGACAACAACGATGCGTTTGCCCCGGGACAGGCCACGAACGGCGTCGCGAATGCTGTCGAGCAGCACGCTGCTTGCTGCTTGTTGATCCGGCTGGTCCAAAAACGACCGTGTAAAGCCAGAGAAGAAGACGACGGGACCGATCGGAACAGCGGCAATCCCTAAAACATCGTCGCGTGAAATGCATACGTTTCGGGCAAATACAAGACCGTGATGAGTACAAAAGGTCGATATCATTTGCGGCGCCTCACATTGTGTCGTGGGTTTGATATAGGCGAGCTCGTCGGCGCGGTATCTAATGGGATAAAGCGGAGATGACGAAGTGCCTAAAACTCAGTGTACCCGAGCTTGAGAAAGGCGCCGAGGAGAGCCATGCACGTTGTCGATTTACCGACCTGGGATTTGTCACCTGCGACGAAGAGTCGAAGTGGCTCGCTGGACGGCGGCGGCAACCAGTGAATATGACGGCGAAGAAGCTTGGCAAGCTCGTTGACGTTGGCGCACGTCACTGCCGAGGCACCGCTGCCGACAGTGATGACAAGAGGGTCGTTGCTCAGCGCAATCGTTAGATGCACGTCCATCACTGGCTCAAGGCCACGAACGAGCGCAACCGCCGCTCGCAGAGCGCCGGATTCCGACCCGCGGACGTGGACAGCGACCATGGGGAGCGGCAACGAATGCTCAAGACGACAGTATTTTGAGCAGAATATTTATTAAGGAGATTGTATAGAGCCAAGCACCATTTTTTCTGGGACGTGAGGCAAGAACTATTTTTAGAAATTCGGCGTTGTGGCGATGGGATACCTCCTTGGTTTGCATGCAGAATGAGGATGAAATAGGCAGGTCTAAAGAAGCGACCAAGGTCTTTAATAAGAGGAAGTTGCCCGAAGGCCGCGTAGATTGAGTTCACCAAAAATATATGTCTTTGATTATAGGCTCCAGCCTTGTTGCGCTAGTTCAGGTTCAAACATCGGAAGACTCATTGCCAAAGATTGAGATAGGATGGCCGAGCCAAAATGCAGCATCGAGCATTTACATAACGTTTCCGGTAAAATTGCACCATTTCCTTCAATTGTCCAGGATGTGTTAAATGAGCTTGCATTCCATAAGCCCACAACCCAGCACTTCCATACCAATAGTTCAATACGCACCCTTTATGCTGGTAACGTTAGGAACGTTTACGTGGTGGTGTACCAGCATCCCAGGGGATTAATTCGTATTTTCTGGCCAACCCATTGGCTATAATTTACGACACTTTGGCTAATGAAACGCAGTTTCATTGGTCTAAGCCAATCACATCGCGCGGGAAATATCCAGTGAAGTGCGATTTTGTTGTCCCTGTTAAGTGCTGTCCCATGTGGGACATTTTACTATATTAAGTACGACGCACTTATGAGAGCACATATCGTACATCAGGTATTTCCGCACCTAATCGCAATGCGGCTGCATTTGGATTGCAAAAGCGCGCGAAGACTGCAGCAAGCGACGACGGCGTGTTGGCCCGGAAAAGTCTGCACACCGCAGCGCAGCGAAGGTCGAGTGTTGGCTTTTGTCTAGCCCAACGCACCGCTTTTGTCTAGCCCAACGCACCGTCGTCGCAATACTGTGAATCGACGCTTCGCATTCATTACAAAAGTTCCTACCAGCTCACCCCGGAAGGGACCTGTTCCTCCCGTCAGAATATTTTGCCGTGACGACGACACTCCTCGGCAACGAAGCTTCCATGAAAGTGCCGGCTTATCACACTAAATTTGTTCTCTACATGTACGAAAAAGTGTTGCCAAGCGTTCCCATCAAAGTTGAAGTCGTAATCTAGCGTTTGGGAGAAGACCAATACTTTAGCCATCTAGATACTTGTTGGATAAATTAACGAACTACTTGTGATATTATAATACTATCTCTGGTACTATCTTACTCGGGTACCGGTATCCACAAAAACCTGTGATCTCCTGGTCCACCAGCTACGACCTATTGGGACAGCCCGCCATACACTATTTCGCTGTTCTATATTATCCGGATGCCGTTGGCGGCGCACAACACGATCGTTGTATTTGGGGTCACGAGAGATGGACGAGAAAGATTCTCCAACGAGTGACCAGAGCTCCGTCACGTCGTTCGGGTCCATCGACACGGACGAAGCTGGCCTCAGGACGTCGAAGAGGCGTGGAAGCCTGTCGCGATCGAAGCGTAGCGCCATCGGGCTGCGCACAGCCGCAGCGCGAAAGCGACGGAAGCTGGAGTCGGGGGTGGTCTCACCAGAGAGTCCGGCGCCCGATGACGCGAGTGCGGAAGAAATTGAAGCTCTACAACAAGCCAAACAAGCCATCATGGACCAGCTGGAGGCGCTTGACCGTGTATCACCTGCATCGCCGTTGTCGCTGGTCGATGGCGTCGTGACGACCGCGGCTCCTCCCGTCGTACTGAGCCGCCGAACAAGCCGAGCGACGCTGCCAAACGCGTTGCAAACAGACGCCACTGCAAGTTTCCGGCACTGGGACTTTCTTCTGCAAGAAATGCAGTGGATGGCGACGGACTTTACCCAGGAGCGCAAGTGGCGCCTGCGCAAGGCAAAGATGCTGTCTGTCTCTGTGCTCAGCCACCACAACAAGAAAGCGACAGCTGCCACACGCTCGTCCCAGCACGAAGAAGCGCACCGAAAGCGTTTGGCGGCCAAGATTGGTCGCGACGTCAAGAAGTTTTGGCTCCAGATCGACAAGGTTGTCGCACATCAGTTCAAGGTCGCGGAAGATGCGCGGCAAAAAGACGAGATGGAGTTCCAGCTTCAGTTTCTCGTCGCGCAGACAGAAAACTACGCGACCGCTCTCGCTACGACGTTTGCGCTACCGATGGACGCCGAAGCATCCGAAGGAAGCGCCGTCGAAACGACAGACGAGCATGTGCTGCGCAACGACGTCGACTCGGATGGCGACTTTGTCATGCAAAGTGGAGACGTCCTTGATGATGAGACGACCATCGCCTTTGAGGAGGCTGCCCAGTCCGCCGAAGACACGGCGCTCGAGCTCGCGTTGCTTGACGAAGAAGGACAGCTCTCGATTGACGAGCTTCGGGCGCGCTATGCTGCTATGGCTTATTGTGACACCGACTCGCACGTGGGGGCACACCATGTAGCGCACGACAGCCCCCGCGCTGGGGACCGTGACGGTGACGACGAAGACTATTCATTGGGCAGTGACATCGATGATGACGACGAGACGACAATCGCAGCCGAAGAAGCGGCTCAGACGGCTGAAGACACCAAAAACGAGCTTGCCGAGCTGGAAGCGGACGCCAACCTCTCGATCGATGAGCTGCGGGCCAAATACTCATCTGCGGAAGCGCCATCGGACGATGCTGTGTCGCACGACGGTGACTTTGAAATGGAGACCGAGTCTGGTGACGACGAGTCGACGATCGCGATCGAAGAAGCGGCGCAGTCGGCGCAAGACACGGCAGACGAGCTCGCTCAATTGGAGGCCGACGCGGACATGTCGATTGAAGAACTACGGGCGCGCTACGTTGTCGCGGGCGCGTCTGAGATCGGATCGAGCGACAGCGATGTGGGCATTGAAACCGATTTTTTGGACGAAGAGACGACCAAACGGGTTACGCGTCCGGTGCGAGGCCACACAGGCACACTCGCGCAGCTGACTGCAAGCACCAACTCGTCGGGAAGCGTGCAGGCAGCTCAGGCATCTGCAACGAGCGTCCGTGCTGGTGTCTCCCAAACGGAGCAAGATCTTTGGGAAGTTGTTGGTGTCGCGCGCCCATTTTTGCTGCGCCCGTCCCTGCATCTCCGCGCATACCAGACTGCAGGTATGTCGATCATTGAACCAATACGGCCCTCATCGGTGATGGGATCAGGCGTCGCGTGGCTGCTATCGCTCGCGCATAACCGCATGAATGGCATCTTGGCGGATGAAATGGGTCTCGGGAAGACAATTCAGACCATTTCAATGCTGGCGGCGCTCGCGACAGAAGGGTATCTATCTCTCGTACCTGTCTAGCACATTGAAATATAGTGCGTTAGGATCTGGGGGCCCCACCTCATTGTCGTGCCGACGTCGTGCATTCTCAACTGGGAGATGGAGCTAAAGCGCTGGTGCCCCGCGTTCAAGATCATGACGTACTATGGTAGTGCCAAGCGGCGAAAAGATCTGAGGTACGGCGATTGCTTCTCTGGTGTGGTGTTGAGTCCAAGCGTATGTGCTAGAAATGGATGGTCAAAGACCAACGCCTTCCAAGTTTGCATCACGTCGTACCAGCTCGTGGTCGCGGACGCACCGTGCTTCAAGCGCAAGAAATGGTATTACCTAGTCCTGGACGAAGCCCACAACATCAAGAACTGGAAGTCTCAGCGCTGGCAAACGCTCCTGACGTTCAACACGCAGCGTCGGCTTCTTCTCACAGGTACACCACTTGTGCAAAAACTGTATAGATCATCATGTGGAGGCAGGCACGCCGCTGCAAAACAACCTCATGGAGCTCTGGTCGCTCATGCACTTTTTGATGCCACACCTCTTTCGGTCACGGGCACAGTTCACGTACTGGTTCAACAACCCGCTCAACGCAATGGTGCGTGTAGTGATTGCCTCGCGCGACTATACTAATTTTCGATGTAGGTGGAAGGTGAAGCGGCGGTGAATGCGTCGCTCGTCGCGCGTCTTCATCGCATCATCCGGCCCTTTGTCTTGCGCCGCCTAAAGAAAGACGTGGCCAAGCAAATGGTAGTACAATATGATGTTCTTGCGATACGGTACTTTACGCGTTTTTAGCCCGGCAAGTTTGAGCACGTTCTAATGTGCCCACTCTCGAAGCGGCAAACGTTCCTCTACGAAGACTTCATGGCCCGCTCGAGCACGCGCAAGGCAATGGCGGGCGGCAACTTTGTCGGCATGATGAACGTACTCATGCAGCTCCGCAAGGTGTGCAACCACCCAGACCTCTTTGAGCCGCGACCAATCTCGTCGCCGTGGGACGTGCCGCCGCTAACGCTCACGTACCCGCTCTCGGCCAGCGCCCTCGCCAAGGACCCGCCACCGTGCGTTCCTCTACTTGAAGCCAGCGGTGTGGCGGAGCGGCTCTTGCAGTCGTCGTCAACTCTCGTTGTTGATGACGTGTTCTTGGCGCCACCAATCGTGCCGGACAGCGCCCACCCACTGGTGAAATCGTTCATGGTGGAGCGTGGCGCTCTGCTAGCGCTTGCGTGCCAGACTAGGCAGTCGACGCTGGTGGCGATCAACTGGCGTCGTTGCCAGAGCCATGTTCCGCTTTTGACACATGAGATGCTTCACGCGTGCACGCTGCCGCAACTAATTTCGGCGGCGATGGATGTTCACGCTCGGCCAAACGCAGCATCAGACACGTTGCAGGCTCTGGTCGTGTCCGGGCACCGCCGATTTGCAGCGGTCGCGTCGTTGCTGCCCCACGTGCTATGTTACGTACACGCCGTGCGCACGCGTTCAGTTCAAGTCGACGTATCGGGACCGCTTACAGCTGGGCGCGTCCGCGAGGCTGAACGCTGGGCCGAGACTTCCGCTGCGGTAACTTGTGGGAGCGTGAAACGCGGGTGCTGAATGGTTCATACTAGATTCGCGAGTCGTTGGCGCCATTAACGACTGCTCTACACCACGTCGTGCAGCGCAGCCACCTGTTTTTCCCAGACAAGCGGCTCGTACAGTTTGACTGCGGTAAGCTGCAGCAACTCGACCGGCTTTTGCGCGACCTCAAGCGCGATGGCCACCGATGCCTCATTTTTTCGCAAATGAGCTCGATGCTAAACATTCTCGAGATCTTCCTCAACATTCATGGGTACGGACCGCGATACAGTGCGTACGCTCCGGTGACTGATGAATTGGTGTAGTCACACGTACTTTCGCCTCGATGGGTCGACACCGGTCGAGAAGCGGCAGCGACTCATGGACCGATTCAACGCCGACGAGAAGGTTTTCTGTTTCATCTTGTCGACACGCAGCGGCGGTCTCGGCATCAACTTGACGGGCGCGGACACGGTCATCTTTTACGACAGTGACTGGAACCCTGCGATGGATGCGCAGGCCCAAGACCGCGCGCACCGCATTGGCCAGACGCGGGACGTGCACATCTACCGCCTCGTGTCCGAGCACACGGTCGAAGAAAACATCTTGCGCAAGGCGCAGCAGAAGCGTCATTTGGACGTTCTTGTCATGGCGGTGTGATCCTATTTTGTACATGGCGATCCTCAATTGTGTGTATAGGAAGGGCAGTTCACAACAGAGTACTTTACGAAAGCAAGCCTTCGCGACCTCGTCACGCCCGAGGCAATGCGGGACGCGGCAGACGGCGACGACGAGGCGCTCGATATGTCAGCGGTCGAAAATGCGATGGCTCAGATAGAAGATGTCGAAGATGTGGCGGCAATGCAGGCCGCCAAGGCTGCGCAGCGAGTTGAGAAGGAGGAAGACGACGCTGGCTTTGACGATGACGTTGTTGACGCAGCCTCGATTGCGGCCGACATGGATAACGATACAGCGCTGCTGCACGATGTGATTGAAGAGCAGCTTCGATCCATCGATCGTATGGCGATCGGCTTCCGCACGCACATCGACCCAATGTTTGTGGCTCTGCCCACCGTCTCCATGGAGACGATTCACGCGCAAGACGAGCTTGAGCTTGAGCGCATTGAGGCGGAGAAGATCGTCGAAGAAGAGTCCGTCATTGAAGACGGCGACCTTATCGTTGCAGGTATATATAACCGATATGTAGCTGCGATATGCCAAACGGTTTGCGTAGAAATGTCGCCTGCGTTGTCCGTGCAGCAACGAGTGTATCAACAAGAACGCCGGCAGGTGCTTCGAGCTAGGCGTCTTCGCGCCATCTCGGGCACGGCATGGAAGATCCTTACCTGTCTCAAGTCGTCGCTGCCATTTTACTTGAACGAAGACACGCGGGAGGCGCAGTGGGAGCGTCCACGCATCTTGCTGAAGAACCAAGAGGACCGCACGGCCCGAGACGGGGGCTACGCGAGCCTCCCGGTCGACGTGCTCGCGCGCATTGCTGTTTTTACGACACCATTGGAACGGTACGCATACTGGCACGAAAGTCTCTCATTCGCTGTAGTTTGACATCGATGGCGCGCGTGTGCAAGTCCTGGTCGCAGTTAGCACTTCACTCGCAATTCTACGTGCGATTGCATTCAGAGGCTGGGGTCGAACGGCTCTCGACGCTGCTATCTGGCGACACGGTGGTGCTGGGCAGCGGTATTCACCGAGTCCCACACACGGTCATCATTCGAACGCGCGTTCGCCTCCTCGCACCACTCAACGGTGCGAAGTTTTTTCACTTGGTTACTCATCAGGGTGCAACAGGTGGTACATCTACAATGCTTCTGGCGCCTGGTGCTCAACTCCAGTGGCATGCAAACGGCGGCGAGATTCGTGGCCTCCACATTGCCGGCGCTGAGTCTTTTGACGCGACGTCACAAATGCCGCTTGTCGTGGTCCCGCCGGGAGGGCACATCGCCGTGGTAAATTGTGACCTTACCGGTGGCGACGCTTGCGTCGCAGTCCACGGTGGTGTTGCTGTAATCCTTGACTCGACCTTGCACGACGCCCGCGGGTACGTTGTTGCACTGCATCCAAACAACGCAATAACGACGGTAGGTCGGGTGTCGTCGTTGCTGGTGGCTCTGCAGTCGTCGTGGCCACCAAGCTGCGTAACCATGGCCAGTGTGGCATCTCGGTTCTGCATGGCACAGGCATCTTCCGGAAAAACACGTTTGAACGTAACCGCCGGTACGGCATCCGACTGCTCACAGGCACACAGCTCGCGACGGTTGATGGAAACCGGTTTATTGGCAATGGCTGTGGCGCCCTCGACCTCGAGCACTCGAGTCGACGCATCGTCGTGCGCCAGAGTCAAATTGTTCCCGACGACGTGCCGGTACGTTGTGTATTGCATGCATACAATCGACATATATATATAATCCGTTGCCTGTAGATTGTGCAAAAGCCTCATTCGCACCAAGCGGTAAAGCTGCAAGGCTTGCAGCTCGAGGATTTGTGCCGGGAGAAGCCACAGAAGGAGGTGCGCAAGAAAAAGGTCAAGGTGCCTACGGACCACGTTTAACAAAATTAAGTTATTTGACTTCGCAGCCTTTCCGTTTCGAGGTAATACTGGTTTCAGCGTACATTCGAAAGCTTGGTGCCTCGAAGTGCAAGTTCAAAAATGCGCAGGACAAT